CTGCTCTTCGTTGAGGTGCGCGGGCTTCTCATTGCAGTGGCTTCTCTCATTGCAGAGCAGGGGCTCTAGGTGCATGGGCTTCAGTAGTCGTGGCTCGCGGGCTTAGTTGCCCCGCAGCATGTGAGATCTTCCTGGACCAGGGCTCGAACCCACATTCCCTGCACTGGCAGGAGGATTCTTAACCACTGCACCACCAGGGAAGTCCTGCAATTTATATTTAAAGCTGAGGAAGCAGGGCTTTGGGGAAAGCCAGGACCCTGCCAAACCACATTCTTATAGAAGGAAAAAGTACTGCTGTTTACTGGGAGATGTGCAGGCCTCCTTTATGGGAGCTTGGTGATGAAAGGGAAGAGCACAGGATCAAGAAAAATGAAGAGATGTCATTTTTATTCATTAATGTATCCAAAGTGCTTAGAACAATACCCAACATGTAGCGGGCGCTCAGTACGTACTTGCTAAATAATGTTTGAAGAAGCCTCAGCTAGTCTAGTTCATACTAAAAAATAACCATAACATAGATTTTATAGGGTGTCAGGTCATTATATTGCATGCCTATAACACGTACAATTGGTTTTTTTGTTGTTGTTCCATTAATTTTGTAATCATAGTTTGGCATCTAATGGCTTTTCAGAAAGCTGAGTTCATAACCTGGCCTCAGTAGGAAGAAAACGGGGTCAGCTTGTGATGGCCAGAGTCACAACTCCCCTATAAAACATACAATTGTGTTTTTTTTGTTGTTCCATTAATTTTGTAATCATAGTTTGGCATCTAATGGCTTTTCAGAAAGCTGAGTTCATAACATGGCCTCAGTAGGAAGAAAACAGGGTCAGCTTGTGATGGCCAGAGTCACAACTCCCCTTAGGAGCCAGTTAAGTTTCCCTACAGTCATTTGCCTTGTTCTTTTCTTTTTCCCTCTTCTTTTTCCCAGGGGCTTCCAAATAACTGTCTTTATATTTTACTGTTGTTTCTATTTTCTTTTCAGGTTGCTTTCCCTTTATATCACTCAGTTTGTTAGCTGAGACCTACTGAACACAACCGGTCCCCAACCCTTACCACCACCACCAAAAAAAACCCCACCAAAAATAAAATGCCCTAATGATATTTAGAATGCAGTAATAGTCTTGGAGGGAGACTAGACTATCTTAATATGTGAAGTGATATTATATATAATAAACAGCAGTGCCACTATCTTCAACACCTTTGAAAGTCACTGGCTGGCACTTTGGACCCTCCAGAGATGTCCTATTTTATCTCCTCCTCTTCTCATTAAACTACTCTGCTCACAGTAGAATTGAAGATACATTTTAAAAATTATTATTAAACATTTGTATTTTGGTTTCATTTAGTTCTATTATTGCAACTGCGTGTGAATCTATTTTAAAATTGGAATGCTGCAATAATTCAGCTACTTGCTTAATACATATTTCACGTGATTGCCAAGAAACCTAACCATTTGCGGCATTGTTTCTAAGGGATAAATGGACTTTTGGATCATATCCTCGTTATAAATAAGAGGCTGCCCGTACACTTAATAAGAATGGGTTTGTACCAGGTGTTGCATAGGAAACATTAGATGGAAAACTATAGACCAAATGATTTTTGCTGTGCTAAATTTCACACGTAGAGAGATCTTGATTTGCTTCCTAACTCTGTCACTGTTATGCTCAGTTGATTTTAATTTTAATTAAAACTTTTTGCCCATTTTCTTGATTCCTGGAACTCTAGAATTTTGGAAATAACAAAGCATATAGCTGTCTTTTCTCCAGATGTATAGAGCTTTAGATTATAAAGGTCCTTTAAGTTTAGCACACAAGTTAGATAGTACACTTCATTCCATGGTAGTATAGTCTCCTTACTTGCTGAGTTAAAACTGTGATTTTTGTCTTCTTTGAAAGAAGAAATAAATTTTAGGTAAAGAAAACAAACAACCAAACTTCAAATTCTTATCAGAAAATCATCAATATTACTTTGGACTTAATAATTCAATAAAAGAGAATATATATCTGAATTGTCCTTACTATTTTTTCATAAGCGTATCACCACACATAACCATGCTTTAAACTGCCCAGCTTTCATGAACAAAGCAGAAGAGGATCTGAGCCAAACTGAGAGTGAATTAGATGTGTGAATATTGAATACAAATTACCAATCACTGTCCAGTGTGTAGAATTTTTATCTGTGCCCCTTCCCATTCACAAAGAAAAGACACTTCCATGGCATGAAAGTGACGTCATTACCTTGAAATGATTAAATTTAAAATCTCAGTGTGTTAACAGACAAAACATTTCTTTCTGTCTGTCTCACTGAAACATACCAGATCTACCTTCTCTTCTTTTGCCTTCAACCATTTTCTTGAACAAAAGCAGAAAGAATAAAAGATCCTGGCTTTTGTGTGTTCTGTGTAGTTTATGTGCTAAGTGGTAGTCAACCATATAAACGATAGCAGAAACTTCCTTTTGGAAGGTCTTTCATCTCTGAAAGCAGCTTACTGTAGCCATCACCGTTAATTTTATTATTGGCACTCAGGAATAAACCTAGTTAAACTGCAGCTTCAGAGTATATTTGCACATAATGACTATCCTGGGAATTCACAGTTCTGGGGTAAATAGCCCGTTTTCCACTTTGATGCCTCAGGGTGGTTTGAGTTTTAAAGCACTAATAACACTGATGGACAATGGGCAGTTCACAGTTTTGTTTCTTTATTTCCCTAAAGTACATCAAAGGGGATTTCGCTGGCTTAGCAGTGATTCACACTAATAATACCTAGAAATTTCACCTGACCATAAGGTCACCGGAAGTCAGGCATGGGATGTGGTTCTCAAAAGCAAATGTGTTTTGGACTGTCTTAATAGAGCAAGCACACCAGTCACTGTACACTGGGCTGGTCAGATCGTTGCAGTCCTAGGTCAGATGGCAGGGTCCCACTGTAAGGAAGGCATTGCCAAAATACAGTGTCTTCAGAGGATGCTGTAGTATCTGCTATGCCCAAAGCAACTGGAAGCATTACTTCAGGAAGTTAACTTGCAGTCCGTAACCTGAAATCCCTGAGAAATGGGCAGAGAAAATGCTTGCACTTTTTCAAAGCCAGGCTTTGTCTGAGGAGTGATTTGTTTTTTGTTAGAGGCTGGATGTACCACTTCATACATTGACTCCTAAGAAGGCTTTAAGAGTTGATATGCCCAACATTGTGACTTTCTTTACACCTAGGAAAAAAAATCTCATTCACCAAATATTATCCTTAAGCAACATTTTGACACTGTCATAGCAAACTTTCTCAAGACCTAGAGGAATGGAAACACCAGTGTGGAGGCTTTTTTCAAAAATATTAACCTTTACAAAATGAAATGGCATTTGGATTTAACGACATGGAGCTCTACTATATACACAAACTCCATGAATGCCTTATGTCCGCAAGTTCGGTTCAAACTTCAATGTTTCGGAGTGCTTGCATTGACCAAGAGAGAAAACCTTGACATTTTCCTGCTCTATAATTTACGGTTTATTACATTTCTTGTGACTATTTTTTATTGTTTATTTTCCATTGTTTTCCATGATATACATCAATTTTAAACCGTGCAGAATTGGGGAAGAATTAAGGTTTTTAGATAATTATACTTTATATTTTCTTCAAGGTTTCCTAAACCAGATCTCTTTCTTTGCTCATTTTTATCTAGATAAAATTTCACCTGCTACAGTAATGTAGAGTGACTTGATATAAGGTGCTCAGAATAGTTTCAATCATCCTTAAAAAGCGTATATTTCTTGAACATGTTAGTTTTTAGTCAGTATTTTAGCAGTCAGAATGGCTTCACTGGACAGTGTAAGACTTGATGCTGTATTTGGTACATTCCCACCAATATGTAAGACCTCATTTCTAATAAGAATTTAGGAAAAACAAACCCAGGAAAGTAGATGGTACTCTTAGAAACACTTCTAATGGATTGTTTTTTTCAGATTACAGTTTGAATGTCATTTTCTGTAAGTATACCCTTAATTAGTGGGAAAATTTTCAGTGTATTAATAAATTAGCTTCAGAAAGATGAGGTTGGCAAATATTTTAGATTATTCAAAATACTTAGTGGAGCATCAAATTAACATTTGCCTGGTCTATAAAGGAAGCACCAGCAGTGCAGAGTGAAATTACTTTACCTAATAATGATGCTGAATGGTATCTCTTTTGATTTCAGTTTATCCTTTCATATTTGACAGTCTGGAACAAGTAGGCATGGAGTTTTGCGTTTCTTATTAACCCAGTCCTGATGAAATGGATTGTCTTGTGCTAGAATCTATCCTACTTGAAAAATACATATATGGTTGTCCTATATTGCCAGGAAGGCCACAGTAGCCAAACAGAATGCTCATTCTCCGCCATTTTCACAGCTAAATAAGAAAAAAAAAAATAATATAATCCATAGCTAATCACCAAGCAGAAAACATGTACCTTGATATGGGGAAATATATCTAACTTAATAAGCTAATATAAAGAACAGCAATGGTTTATGAATTATGCCATATGCATTCATTATAAATATTCATCATACTTGAATTACCAAAATGAAACTTAATCTTTGAGAATCCAGAAATAACATTTATTTACTGGCATTAGTTAGGGAAATTTCAGTTAGGGAAATTAAAAGAGAAATATATTCACTTGTGTATGTACATCCACAGTGATCAATAATGTCACTAATTTGTTTTTGCTACAGTTTTAATATCACATTGAGATAATAGGTTCACAAACATTGTGCCTCAGGGGAGCCTCTTTAGAGTGAGTCACGTGATGGCTTTAGCTTAGTGAAGTCCCTGTAGTCCAGGGTCAGATCACTAGAGTACCTCTCCTGATGTTGGGTCATCAGTAACTGACTCCAGGAGACCGTTACCAATTTCACAAGGAAACTGAACCGTTTACGAGGCTGCCTTGGAGTTAAATTAAAATGAGGCATACAATTGTCATAGAGACCAGAGGAAGTAATGTTGCCCTAGGAAGGCCACATGGGAAACCAAATTAAAATCAGAATATTGCTTGGTGAGCAGTGAGTCAGAACAAGAGGAGCTTGTTGCATGATTAAAATAGCTAATAGTGCCAACTTATAATAACCCAGTGCATCTGCTGCCGTCATTAGGAATTGGCTGCCGCGGGAGCCGCATAGTTGAGTTTGATGTATTAATACCATGAACACTTTGCGTGGTAGCCAGCTTGTGGACTGGGAGCCACTCTGCTTCCCAGAATGACTTTTGCTACAGTTTTATTACTTCCCTTTTGAAATGACTTTACAAGATTAACTCTTAATATCTTGGAAAGTCTGCTGATAACAGCACAGCATAGTGAAAAAGAACACAGATCATTCTATGTTTGATCCTAGTTCTGCAACTTACTATCTCAATTGTTAACCACCGCAAGACCAAGTTTTTCAAATTTGTAAAGCGGAAGTGATAATATTTCTCTTTTAAGGGTTAACTATCATCAGTGTCAGCTCAATAAACAGTAGAGAGCATTGCATGGTGTTTAAGAGATTGGGTCTGAAATCAGATAGACCTGCCTTTGGTCCCAGATCTACCATTACTTTCTTCTCTTAGCCTCATTTTATTCATTTCTAAAATGTGAGAATAAAAATTTTGCCCCAGAGAGTAGTGTTAGGATTAAATGAAATAAAAATAAAGCATTTATTACAGTTTCTCGTTAATGCATGCTCAATAAATGGTAGCTATCCATGTAAGTAAGAGCACGATTAGTATTCCTTCCATGGCTAAGAATGAACAGCACTGTAGTGAGTATGTCTTGAGCCACAGTCAATTAGAAAATAATACTCAGTTTCTCATGATCCAAGGGATCATCTTTGGTCTGAAGAGTTTTCACTATTCTTGTCAGTCATTCAGATTCTAATGAGTTTAGGTAATCACTGGAAGCGATTACCTTTGAAATTAATGGGCCCTTGTGAAGGGACTCAATCAGCTCCCTTTGTCAAGCGCAGCATCAGAACTGCCCCTGATTAACTGGGGCCTCCAGGGAGTCTAAGGCCTCATTGCCTTAGGCTCCCTGGAGCCTAAGTTCATTCGAACGACCTTTTTGGCCAACCCAATATATATGGGAAACCTTATTTCTAGGACAATATTGTTTTGGGGATTATTTAGAAAATGCTGATTTCCCCCCAGCAAGAATCTGGCTGCCTTTTCTCTGGAATAACCTGAAAACCTTTCAAAAGAAAAATATTAGAAATTATATGTAGGGGAAAAGCTTTCAGAGAAGAGCAGGTTGTGGTGGTCACTCTTTTCATAAGGCAAGAGATAAGACATGAGATGGAAATTAAGATGAGATAGAACTTGTATAAGTGACATTACAAAACTGATCTAATTTGAAGATACGATGAAATGTATACTACAAGGCCTAATCATGATAAAACGGACATTTTGCTGCAGGCAACTGCAAAATTAGAAAAATGTTGAAATAATGAAGTATTTTCTAGCTTTGTCTGTCATGAGACCATCGAGTATATATATAATGTGGTTATTTAGTATATACTGTTGAAGCAGATACTGCAGTTTCTGTAGAAGGTAACTGTCAAGTGGCCACTATGAAATTTGCCTGGAAAATAATTCCTCCAGGTGATTTCTGGGGTGTAAGCTTGATTCCAACCTAGCATTAAACAGATCAGAGTATCTAAGACTTCTTGAAGTTACTAGAAACACTTGTGCACGAAATTCAAAAGGCTCAAACACAACACATCTCAAACTAAAACCTTGATTTCCTACTCCCCGCCAGACTTGCTTTTCCCATCTTGGTTGCTCATGCCCCAAACCCTGGATTTATCTAAAACTCCTTTCTTGTTCTCACAACTCAGATTCAATCTGTCAGGAATCTCTTCCAGCTCTCCCTTCAGAATACACCCAGAAACCAACCACTTCGTGCTCTCTCCTCAGCTACTGCACTGCTGTGAACTACCATCACCTCTCACCTGCATTATTGCCAGTCTCATGGTCTCTCTGCTTCCGTCCTTGCCTCCTACAGTTGTTTTCTTGTACTAAATTTTCTTTTTTTTTAATATCCTTATTGGAGTATAATTGCTTTCCAATGGTGTGTTAGTTTCTGCTGTGTAACAAAGTGAATCAGCTATACATATATCCCCATCTGTCTTCCCTCTTGTGTCTCCCTCCCACCCTCCCTATCCCACCGCTCTAGGTGGTCACACAGCACCTACAGTTTTTACTCCACACAGTAGTGATCATTTAAGTTCTATGTCAGATCCCGTCACTCTTCTATGCAAAACACCGTGACGACTCCTCATGGCAGTCAAGCGAAAACCAAAGTCCTGAAATCTACCCACAAGGGCCTCTACGATTTGATTCTCCATTACTTCTCCGCCTCCTACCCTATTACTTTTCTCGTATTTACTTCAACCCAGAGACACTGAGTGCCTTTCTTTTCTACGATCTACAAATCTGACTATTCTAGAATATTGCCACCCAAAGAACAGCATGGCGGAGCTAGATTTATAGATATAGAGTACAAAGAGCCAGTATTCTGGAAAATGAAAGCAAAGACACACAAGACCATGAATATTAATAATCTGTGCAGATTTAGAATTAATTCTAGACCATTTTATGCAGAGTTTATCTGGGATATTTGAAAGAGGTAATTTAAAATATTTAAAAGAAAATATGTTAAAGCAGAAGAAATATGCTTATATAAAAACATTTTGTTAGAAATTTCTGTCAGAATAAAATATAGCTATTATTAGCAATATTTGGAAATGTGGATAGGGTCATAAAACCTCAAAGATGAATATCTAACTTTGTGAATGTAATGCTATGTAAACTATTCACTCTCGTCTCCAAATTGTTCATTAGAATCATATTCTTGATGGATGGACCATTATGTTAACTCAGTTTTATACTTTTTATGATCTCAAGTGTTGCTTTTCTATAGTTTAAATATAATGATGAATATATATGTATAAGATGTTTCCATAATTTGGTGTGATTTTTTTCTTTCATTTTTAACAAAAATGAAAACAGCTTTATTGTGCTAGTTTTATTATATGCATGATGCTCATTGTATATACCAAACAGAATATACCATTATTAGGAAGAGAGTAATGGTTACCTGAAATCCCAACCAACAGAACATTTTGGTGACTTTTCTTTCAAATTTATGTACAAACTTGCAGACACCTACATACTGACATAGACACACATACATGAAAATCTACACATACATGATCATAAAAATAGTGGTTTTATCAGCATACCTTTTGTCTATCTATCTATCTATGTAGTAAATCTTTCCTTTTCTTATTCAAATTCCTTTCACTCCTCCTAAACTATATTAATAGTCTTGTGTATATTCTTCCATTCTCCTCTCTATATTTATTTAACCATTTAATCACAAAACACACGGTCATACAGAGACATTTTTGTCATTGTCATAAAAAATACAGTTATGGGCTTCCCTGGTGGCGCAGTGGTTGAGAGTCTGCTTGCCGATGCAGGGGACACGGGTTCGTGCCCCAGTCTGGGAAGATCCCACATGCCGCGGAGCGGCTGGGCCCGTGAGCCATGGCCGCTGAGCCTGCGCATCCGGAGCCTGTTCTCCACAACGGGAGAGGCCACAACAGTGAGTGGCCGTGTACCGCAAAAAAAAAAAAAAAAAATACAGCTATTCTACTTTTCTTCCTCGAACTTTTGATATTTAATCCATGCATATTTAAAATCTTTCTAAGTGAACCAGTGGAGCTTCAATTTATTATTTTTAAAATTCTAAATAACATTTCATAGTGTAAATATAACATAATTATTCACCAAATCCCCTGTTATTCTGTATACTTTTTGCTCCCAGCTTCTTCTCTGCTTCCATAAACAATTCTACAATCAACATCTTTATATATATATATATATATATATAAAATGAATATATATATATATTCATTTTCTGTTGCTTTTATTTCTATGAGATAGATTACAAAATTGTGAATGCTGCCTTTGAACTTACCAAGCTAGATGGTATTGGAATGTAGACCACTGAGAGAAAAGAATTGCAAGGTAAAGATTCTATACCCTTCCAAGATATTTTTTATCCAGCATGATGAAAAGTAAAGGTATTTGAAGCTATGCAAGGGTTCTGAAAATATGTTACTACTCACCACCTCTAAGTAAAATATTAGAGAAAAGACTCTACAAGACAAATGAATCAAAACAGGGACCTCTGATAGTAGAAGATGAAGTGGAAAGGAAACTGTGGTGAGCAATGAATCTT